CACACACACACACACACACACACACACACACACACACACACACACACAACCCTTCGTCAATATGCGTTTTCTGGTTTTCTGCATTGCACAGCTGCAAAAACGCATTAAAAAAACGCCATAATCCTTCTGTTGCGCTTTAAAAGCAAGCAAACCTATAATTATCGCCCTCCTCGTAGCGCAAGTGAGAACCGGTAATAAACCCAAATATCGAACTGTTCTTTTGTCCAACTGGTGAAAGATTTATCAGCAGTCGTGGTACGTCATCGTTAACTTCATCAGTTAGCCCCGCGAATGGATGCACAACCAGTGAAGTACCCATGATCATCAAAAGATCGCATTTCGGGAAATCCTGAAAGGCCCACTGATGGCTCGGTTACTACAGCGACAAACAGTACCAACGCTTAAGGTAACATACACACGAACTTTGTTGAACCTATTATGTAAATTACAAAATACATTTTAAAAACTTCAAAAAGACATGTTTTTTTAACGAATTTGCGTGACTGGCTACGAAGATGTAATTAAACAACGCAAAAAAGGAAAATGTACCGCTAACCCAACTCCAAACAATTTTGTTGAGTGGAGATCAACCCCTGCACAGCTAGACATTTTCCTGGGAAATCTTGACTGTAAAAGTGTTCTCGCCTTTTTTACGAAGCTGTTCGTCCTAATTAAGCAGTGTGCAGTATATGGGAGTCAAAATTTGTACAATCAACTACGTACTTCTTTTGCACAACTGAAAAATCGTGGTGGAAGATCTTCGCCAAAGAATACGATATCTGGCTTCACAATGCCACTACACTTATCACACCGGGCTACTTCAACATCCTCCACAAATAGTTTCTCTGTAAGATAACTTCAAAAGTGCAGTATGAACGAGCCGAAGCGTCTATGAATTCAATAAACAAACTAATTTTCTACGAAACAATATGCCGATAGACGGAAAAAAAACCCACTCATTATCCAGTCCTGGTCATACTTTGCCTCACAAGACAAGCATGTGCTAGTGTGATGACATCCATGCGCTGTTACTAACTTCTCAGTGTCAATACCAGTTGCAAATTCCAAAGAATCGATGTTCTAAAAACAATGTTGAAAAACAGCTCTTTTGCTTCATTTTCACCATAGCTGAACGGGCTAGCACTGTGGGAGTTCTCGACGTTAACATGATGTAACCAAACAGCTATGCCAGGCCTTCCTGTGCTAATCTACAACGCCTTTTCTTCGCCATATTCAGTAGTATGTGTGCCGTCGCTGCAGAAAACTGTCTAGATACTGCTTTCATATCCCATACTTATCAAGTACTGACACGCTACGTCTGCAAATACTCAGTTGACAACGCACGAAGTGCACTGGTCAAATTAAGTAGAAGATACACGCGTCAATGCTAAAATGTATGAAGAGAGGCCCACTTAACTAATCATTTCCTACTTTAAGTCACCCATGCAGAAGCGCTATCAAAATCTAATAAATCTCAATTTCTGATGCAGCCGCAGAAGTACACATACAGAAGTGTGAAGAAATCGAATCCCAAAACTAACAGGCAGACTGATGTTTTGCTACAGATCCAAAAAATTACTTCAAAATGAAAGGTAAACTTTTAGGAAGTAGCATGTAACGAACCTGAGTATACCATCTCAACAGTAAGCCTTTCTGATCCAAAAGGCGGATGAAGTAGTGGCATGGTGTTGGCTGAAAGCATGAAGGCATGTTAAATTTTCACGTATTTCTTTTATTTTTTGCTTGCTGTTTTTTTTTTTTTTTTTTGAATTCTTAGTAAACGGCAGTATATAAACTGCGAATGATGGAAACCATCATGAAAAAACTCAAGGAAATTAGTGCTGTTCGCAAAAATCAGAAATGGTTTCCAGAACAACCAGGAATCTGCTGCTTGAATGCTTTAAAAGCATTCGTCTGCGGACGAAGCAAAACAGCTTCTACAATAACCAGCTGCAGTTACGACTAGCAGAGGTCCAACTTTGCAAAGGAAGAAACAAGCTGACCTACTTCCCGTGTGCCATTACCAACGCATCAAAGAAGAAGATCGTGATGAGACTACGTTTTGAGAACAAGGGGGCATAAGACCATGAAGGGTTTGTCGAGCTTACAGATGCGCGTTAATTCTTAAAGTACTTAATCATTTTGCTATAAATACATTATGGACGGTGAAAATGATATCTGTAATTTTGGTTTTCTTTTGAGATTTTGCGTATGTCTTTTGACATTGTAATAATAGAAAAATAGGTAAACAGTGATCTGGAACTAATATTTTGAGAGCAGTAAAAGATACTGAACTTATAGCTCCTGGTTAACATCCAACAATTTGCACTTCAACATTCTGAAAAATATTCGTGAAAATAAAACTGCTGGAATAACTGCTTCTTCCGACACCAGTAAAATCATACCTTTAGATTTTTTGGGAAGAGATCTTTTGCCAGTCTATAAAAAGGCTCAGGATGTAGTTTAAAATATCTGATGTCGAAAATAGCCATTGGATCTGGTAAATTAAACTGAGAGACATTGTTGTATAATCCGGTACCTAGACATGAGGTAACATTTTAGAAATTCACAAACCTTCAGCCATCATAATATAAGCACAAATGAAAGTGGCGTCGAGGTGGAAAAAACCAATAAAATAGCAGTGCAAGAAGTGAGACAGATCTGTTAGACCTATTTCTCTGCTGCAGATTGGTGCAAGCAGCGTCTCACTACTTCGAAAAAGACGACACGCATATGCAGCGGATACTAATGGTAAAAAAGGAGGTAAGTAGCCAAGGAAAGGAAGATTTAGCAAAGCTGCTCTGATAGCAGCTGCAAAAAAAAGTGATGAGAATAAGGAAATGTTGACTGCAAAAACCAAAATGTTTTGGTTAGTGCCTGAAATTTAAAAAGTCTCAGTAATAAAAAGGCAACTATTCTGGCAATTTGTCTGAATCATAAGAACGTGTAACCTGGACTTCTGAAGTCCGGGACTCCGGCAGACGTTGATATACCCGCTCCTGTTAGAACAATTATATTCTTGGCCTTGTTGTCGCGAATATATTCTGCTACGCCTTCAATTGTGAGTGATGACAGCTTTTGTCTGATGTCTGAAATTCAAAATTATCACTCAATGTTTCAGGATCACATTCCTAAATTTCTATCGAGATCATCCAGATTCAATCCTTCGCGCGAAATTTTAGCCCACGAAAGCACAAAACTTTTACTGGGACGTTAATTATCTGCAGCAAAAATAATTTTATAAGGCTTTGACCTGCACGAACTGACTGCCAGAAGTATACTGCCATCGCATTACGACGGATGAGGGGGACACAAATCTCGCTTACGGAATTTTCAAGGAAAATAACGCCTTACTTCACAGAAAAGACTGATCAAAAAGCGCCATTTAAACAACGTGAAGCTGCTCTCCCGCCATTTTCCCCATCCTCTTTCCGCCCTGCCCCACTCACTGTTTCGCTCTGCCTGCTCAAATACAATCTTCCTGACACATTTTATGCGTATTTTGCAGCTATGCAATGCAGAAAACGCATAATGACGAGGGGTTGTCTGTGTGTGTGTGTGTGTGTGTTCGTCTGTACAGATTTTTCATCTCGAGACCGACAAAAGTTACAGGGCTGAAACTTTGGGGAAATAATCTACATGCACGTACGAGCCCCAATCCCCGAAATGGGCGGTCTTATCCGCGTGGTACCCACGTAAGAGCCCGCCAAAATTTTTCTCGGGTACGTTGATAACTAGCGAACCAGAAAAGCTAGAAAGCTGAAATTTTAAGGGTATGTCCCCCGTCAAAGCTGGTACCAATGACCTTAAATCCAGCCCCCGGATAAGTGTGGTACCAGCGTACGAGCCCGCCAAAATTTTTCCCGGGTGACTTCATAACTCGGGGACCTGAGATGCTAGAAAGCTGAAATTTTAAGGGGATATTCCCCTTCTAAGCAGGTATTAATGAGCTCAAACCCAGACATCGGGTATGCGTGGCACCCGCTTGCGGACCCGCGAAAGTTTTTTCCAATAAGTTGCCAACCCAGGAGCCAGGAAAACTAGAAAGCTGAAATTTTAAAGGGGTGTTTACTACTAATTCTGGCGGCCAGTCTTAATATGTTTAGCTAGAAACATTTGCCGAGAAAACCGATGCCGATAGCGATAAAAACTGCGGGGAACTATGCAAAAAACGCAGCTTCGCACGGACATGCAAAAAACGCAGCTTGCTGGAAAACAGTGCTGAAATTTTGTCAGCATGTTTGTCGCCATATGGGAAATCGTATACTTCAAATGAATACCGATTTGCACTTGTGTCACGACTTAAGGCACTTCAAAGATATTTGTAGCGAAGTAGATATATTTCGCTTACTGGATAAGGCACGAGGCTGAAACTTCGCAGGGATGTTCTACGTTCAAGTGCGGTCTTAATTTTGCTTGGAGGTGCAATTCCCAGCAGGCGGGCATCAGAAATACCCAACTTTACCGAAAAACCAGAAACGAGTGCGTTTTGCAGCGAACGACCGCCCTCACCCAAATATGTAAATGAACATTCAGTTCATTCGCATACTTGGATTTTTTGATGAACAGCCGCTCTAACAGCATTTCCACTTTTCGAAGAACTAAAGCTTTTGCATTTTCAAAAATCAGCATTTTTTATTTTTTCAAAAAGCAAACATTTATCGAAAAAACAACCGGGCTTCATGCAAAAAACTGGTAATTATGTGCCTGAAGATCCATACGGCCCTGCAACACCTTCATCTCAACCGACGCCCTTTCTTCCGCATGCTGGAAGGGGCCAAAGCACAGCCAGTATGAAACCAAGTGTTAGGCTGCAGCGCAGGAATCATTTCTACGAGTTTAGTGAAAAAACGCATGATCGCACCGGCAAGCCTGATGCGTTCGAGCCTGGATTTATGCGTTTTTGCTGTGCAGCGCTAAAGCGCGGCAACAGAGAGCAAAAACTCATATTGCGACGACCCTGTCCGTGTGTTTGTGTGTTGGTCTGTCTGGGTATTTCTAGTGAGGAGCCACGCAAGCTTTAATGCTGAAATTTTGCAAGTGCGTTCCTTGGTCAAATGCGACTCCAGAAACGTGATGTCAACTGTCACGCACGTCTACGTCTCATGTACGGGCACGTGGAAATTTTGGAGGGAAAACTGCTAACCCGGGAATGAGAAAAGCTGGAATTTTAAGAGGACGTTATTTACTCATGAATGACCAATATTACTTTACTCACGAATGACCAAATGATTTTAAATTCAGACCCTTACAGCCATCTCAAGTACGGACACGTTAAAGTTTTGGCGGGGGAACTGCTAACTCGGAAACGAGAAAACCTTGGAAGCTAGAGTTTTGACAGAATGTACCCAATTCATGTACGACTAAAAGATTTCAAATTCAGCTCCTCAGAATCGTCCGAGTCTCACATACGGATAAGTGGAAGTTTCGGCGAAAAAATTGCTAGCTCGGGAACGAGGAAAGCTAGAAAGCTGGAATTTTAAAGGAAGGTTCCCTAATCAGATGCAACCGAAAGTCTTGCATTTCAGTTCCTTAACGCTCCTGGACTTCACGTATGAACACGTGAATTCTGGTGTGAAATTTACTAACTCGGGAACCAGAGAAGTCAAGAAGTCGGAACTTTAGGGAAAAGTTCACGACACAGACTGTTCGGGCTGTCAGTATGGGTGTCCTTCGATATCGACGAAGGATACACCAAATAGCTGCACGATTAACTTCCTGAACTTCAAGGACCAGTATGTCACAAATCCTAGCTACTGGGATTCCACCCTACCTTATCACAGCACGAAATTTGCAAAAATGCACGATCACACTGGCCCACCTGGAGCACGTTATTAATGATTTTGTCATAATACAAGATCTCAGAGTGCCATGAAAACAACACTCAGTAACTGGCCAGCGCACCGGTCGCCGGTGCGAAGATGCGTTTTTTGCATAGTTCCCTACAGTTTTTGTCGCTGCCAGCACCGGTTTTTCTGGCAGATGCTTCTAGCTAAAAGAATTGAGAATAACCGCCAGGACTGTCAGAAAACATCGCTTAAAATTCCAGCTTTCTAGCTTTCGTGTTCTCGAGTTAGCAGTTACCCGCAAAAAACTTTCACGAGCCTGTATATGGGAACCACGCATATCCGGGGTTGGCTATGAATTCATTGAGAATTATGTGGACAAGAGACATCCCTTTAAAATTCTAGCCTTCTAGCTTCTCGGGTCCCCGAGTTAACAGCTTACGCGAAAAAATTTTGACGGGCTCATACGTGAGTACCACGCATGCCCGGGAGTCGGGTCCGAGCTCATCAATACCTGCTTGGACAGGGAACGCCCCCTCCCTTAAAGGGAACGCCCCCTTAAAATTTTCTGCATTGCATAGATGCAAAAAACGCTCAAAAACAATGATTAGTCCAAGATACTAGCTGCAGCGTGAACGAAACGAGAGAAAATCGTGACAAATATCTCTTACACAACAAATGTAAAGTTTCCTTTTTAAGCAGCTCATCCTCTTGGTATGGGACAGCAGTGGCCAGCAGGAGGCAAACCCATTACGGAGGGACGATTGGATTTGCACCCCGATATTCTGCCCAGTATGCGGTGCCGCGCTGCACGGGATCAGTAATGTAAGCCATGTTCGCTCAGAAGTACAAGAATCAAGAGTATGAGGTAGCTTCAGATGGACGCAAGAGCGAGGTTGCGTGTTAGTGCTCCCTGCGCGGATAAACAATCATACAATTTGGTGATAATGATCAGTATATAAGCTGCCACAAAAAAAACCTTTTGTTTTCTTCTCAATTGTCAACTTCCCAAGGCTCTTGATTACTTTCGTAAGCATATCGGAGGAGGCGGCCGCACTACTCGGTTCTTTCTCCGCTGCAGAACTTCCGTCTTCCTTCTTTGAATCCGAAGATGCCTCTTTCTTCATCCGATTCTTAAAAGCAATCACAGTAGTCTTTCTTCCCAAAATTACCTTTCGAAATCTAGCTTACTGTTTTTAAAACTTCGAGAAACTGATACTCCATTTTTCAAAATATATCATTCAAAGCCAAAAGCGGCCACAGATCAAGGAACGGGGATTCACTGTAGTCTGAGAGACTGCACCATGACTGAGTCTGAGAAAAACGAAGAGAACTGCTGCTAGTGGCTCCATCAAGTCAACGCTTTCTGTCCCAAACGAGTGAACACCTTCGGCTAGATTCTAGCACAAACTTGAAAAGCGTTCAAATTTCTCCCCCAGCGTAAATCACGTTAAACACTTCTGCGATGAATTTAAATCAGCTTTCGATGCAAAAACTGACTAAGTGGTAGAGAGAATGACTTCAACAGAGAAACTGATGAACAGTTCGTCCGAGTAACATATAAATACTGCTGAGCAAAATAAAAAAAAAAAAAAAACTACCGTGAAGGCAATCACATCTCGGTTCATGCATAGCGAATTCTCAGCGAGGCTCCCATAGCGTTCTTTCAACTTAGTAAGGGGAGAGACCAGAAGCACATTACTGCAACGGCCGCTGTGCAAGTCAGTGCAAAACAGCAGGCGAAAAGATAATGACGGAACAGTCACTCAACGTCCGCAACGGTCAAAAATAAGCCATTTTCGACGAGACACCTCAAAAAACTTCACAAGATGTGCTGCTGGACAAGAAAATCACAATGAGGACATGTGAAATACTCTCATTCGCAAGAGGCAGTCATCTGGAGGTTGAAGGAAAGTCACGAAAATGACAAACTGCGGAAGCTCAGGTATATGACCATTTGGGAGCAGTGGCACCGCTGAAGGATGCACGAGACTGGTACAGACTGCTGGGATTTCGGGAATTTGATCGAGACATAGCCTCAAACGAAACAATCAGTTCAAAACTGGACTTTTTGTATTACTGGAGCGGACTAACGTCTCGTCCCTCCTGATCCTGTCGATCCTCTCCCTCCATTCTGCACGACCAGACTTGGTAGACGGCCACGAATATAAGACAACCAACTCGCCGATATACAGATAAGCAGCCACCACTGGCCCGATAAGTGACGAAGCTGCTTCCGGCCCCTTTTCACCCGGCACCTCAAATGAAAGCACATGCATCCAAGATGAAGTAATATGCAGCGCAAAATCCTCGCGAATAACAAATAAAACGGTGAAAATCATTCGCCCGCAACGAAATAATACTCTGCCACCTAAAGAAACAGTCCCAGAAGCGCCAACGCATTTTCCCCCTCTTTTTATGCAGTTCTAGTATTTCTAACGAACGAAAAATGCAGAGTGATTAGAGCTTGCCGGTGTGTGTGTGTTTTCGGATTTTGTTACCTGTTTTCGACTTAAAACAACGCCATCTCAAACGCAGCAACTTTGCACAGAAACAGATCCCGTAATGCGCAAGAGAAAAATTGAACACCGCCATTACGAAGAAATTACAAAGTATGCTAATATGAAAGTATGTTAATATCAAAGTATGTTAATATACTTGCGGCCCCATGGAACTTTCGGCGGGGAAAATTACCTCGAGGACAGCAGAAGCTGGGAATCTGAAATTTTAGGGTGATCTCCTCTACCAACGTACAACCTCGCAAATCTGGACTCAGCCTTCACGCACACCTGGGTACTACGCACGGCCTCGTGAAAGTTTTGATAGAGGAATTATTATCTTGTGTGCGTGAAATTTTTAGTGGAAAATTCGGCAAATTAAGAACCAGACAACATTTTAACTATTTTTGCACAGACCAAAATGCAAAGCAGTGAAAATCATTAGCAGGCAACCATTCAGTGGACGGCATTGCACAAAACGCATGATCGCACCGACTGCCCTGGTGCGCGTCGCTATTTATTTAATTTGGAGCACGCATGTCCCCACGATAGCCCAAGTCAGCTCTAAAATTTAGCTTAAAAACCAAAAGGGGTGCTGAAAGGTTAGGAGATAAGCAGTCTTGGTGCGTCAGATTCTTTTCGATCGGTATATGAACTGAAAGGGAAAGAACTGCCATATCCATTCCAATCAGCGTCTCACCAATCTCTCCACTAACAAAGGTCCAGAGCACAGTATTCAGCAATGTATTATCGAACAGTTTTCCTTAACGAAGACGAGAGAGAGAGGGGCTTGGCACTACCCTGAGCGCTCAAGCAGCTGATTTAGAATGAAAATTTGGTCCATCGTTCTGTAATTTACGCTGGCCTGCTGATAGTCCGATCAGCTAATAATCCCCATGAATAGACTGTAAACAACATAGGAGAGTAAGCAGGTCGAAGAGTAATTCTTCAGATCTCCCCTGTCATCC